AATATCATTATTGAAACAATTAATAAAATCCATAAGACACCCAAATACCTTCTATACTTCTTTCAAGCAATCATTGGTAAACTCAAACACAAGGACCATATATTCTTCAATATCTTTACAAACAAAGAGCACATAATGTCCTCTCATCAAAAAGAATTCATTAATATTAAGAAAAATTTTTAGGAAAAATATAAAAATGAACACAATTTCTCTTTTATCAACTTTGAAACCAGAAAAAAAAATTGTGTTATAATTTGTATCATTCTTTCTATTATCTTTCTCAGAACCATTGATATTGAAAACCTTTTTTTTTATGAATTAGTTAGCATTCTCTCTTATCTTATCAACTATTTTATCAAAAAACTACTTTTCTTTGTCAAATATACATCTCTCAAAGAATCTCTTAACAAATACTTTGATAAAATTCTCACTGATCTCCTACAAAACCCAAATGATATTCTATCACAAGTTAAAATCAAACTTCTATACAAACTTTCAATTACTGACAAATCCCATCTTATTCAAACACTTTACACTCTTCACTCTTATTATAAGTTTAATAAGCTTTCTGAATCATATTTTAAATCAAATCTCCAACTTCCTGACAATCCCAATAAGCTTTTAACAAAATACAAAACTATTTTCCCTATCAAAAAAAGGAGTGAATTATCCAAACTTTCTGATTACAAGAAATACATTCGTGAGGAATACTAAATACTATTCAAATTACCTGACTCCTATTTCGAACTTTCTTCTTCCAAAAAACCTCTTCCTTCTATATATTATTTACTTGAACCCAAATATGTTCATCTTTTTTTCTTCAATCCAAAAGATAGCATATTAACTATTTACGAATTAATAACTCTTTTTTACAAAACTTATTTTTTCAAACTATTACCCAATGATTATTTTTTCATTCGAACAAAACTTCACTCTTTACTTAGCAGAATATTCAATCTTGATATTAATATTCCTTTATCAATAACTGATCCTGCTGAGATCCCTTTCTTTCTCAAAACTCTCTCAAAAAAATATTTATTTTTTACTTCTCTCCCCAAGGATTGGATTGATATCTCATCTTACCTGGATACAAAGTCATCCCTTCCACAAAAATTTGAAAAAGTAAATAAAATTGCAGGAACAAACTTTCCAATCCTGAACAAAAAATATTTCAGAGAAAACATTATTAAAGCCCACAAACACTTCATATTTGACAAAATTCTTGACTCTTGAATCATTATCCTAGAAAACTCCAACTATCTGACTTGTCAATACTTGCAAACTTCATTACAAATAATAATCTTAACATCAAACTGCTAATTATTAATGATTCTAACTTCTCAATCAAAATCTGTAAACTAAGAGAACACTTTAGTTTTTAAAGATTTTCCAAGAATTATATCCTTCAAATCGAACTTTCTGAATCTTCGCTTAAATTTTTTAATTATTTCTAATAAATAACACCAATTATAATATTAATAATTTTTCAAATAATGGGTTTTTTTTCAAACATATTTATCTCAACAAAAATCTAACTTCTTTCTATACCCACTCTTCTCCTCTTAACAAATCTTTATTTCTTGAAATTAAATTTCTCAATATTTGCGATATTAATGATATAACCAAACTCAATCGCCTTTTAACCTATATAAAAAACAAAAACTATAATATTTTTGGTTTCTTTGAAACTAAACTCTACTCAAACAAAAAAATTTCCAACATTATTGACAATTTCCTAATCTATTCAAGCAACTTGTCCTTTAGTCAAGCAGGAGTATCCATTGTAATTAACAAAAATCTTCAAAACCACCTTTATAAAATCTCAGAATTTCAAGGATATATAATCTCCATCCTTCTTCAATTCAAACCCAAAATCAAACTATGTGTTACCCAAATTTATCTGCCCTACAATATACAGGAAAGAAAAAATGTCACCTCTTTTTTTCAAAACCTGATTAATAATAACAAATCCAAAAACATCATACACATTATTATGGGAGACTTTAACTTCACTCCTTCCAAACAGGACAGAACTCAATTAACTGAACCAAAATATAAATCTACTATTTACAAATTTCTTAACAAAAACTACTTCAACACCTTCTGTCTTCTTAATCCTCAAAAGTTAACATTCACTTTTTTTGGTTTTACTGGACAAAGTCATATTGATCAAATATAGACCTCTGAAGATATTTCCTTTCAAATTATCAAGTTTTTAATAATTAATACAGAACCAGAATTTCACAGTAACCATAAAATAATTATACTCTCAATTTTCAATTTTTTAATTACAAAACTTCCTAAATCCAAGTCATAATATGCTTCAACCATAACAAAGTATCAGAAAAAACCTGGGAAAACATTAACACTTATCTATCAAATAAACTTAATATTCTTGATGATGACTTCAATATTCATGACACTGGAAAACTATCAAACTTCTCAATAAAAACCTCAATAAATAACTTTATTCCAAAACAAAAAATTAAAAAAAACTTTAATCACATATTTAATAATAATCTTATTATATAATAAAAAATTTTTTATATAATTATAAATTTTAAATCTATAATTAAGAAATATATTAATATTGTTTTGTTTTATTAATTATTTACAAAATTATAAATCAAATCAAATTTTAAAAAAAGTTCAAAGACTTTTGTAACAGACAGTATAATTTATATATAAATTTATAAAAAATTTTAAAACAAATTTTTAGTTTTAAAATCAAATTTTAAGATAAATTTATTAATAAAGTATTAAAAAAAACTTATTGTTTTATTTTTTATATTCTAAAAAATATATTTTTAAAATTTTATAGCAAATAAATAATATTTGTTTAAAGACTTTTTAGACAAACTATAAATTTTGAAAAAAAAATATCTTAATAATAATTGAAAAAAATTTTAATATTTTAATAAAACAGTATTTTAATTATTTAAAAATACAAAATTACAAAATTAATTAAAAAAATGTTTAAAAACTATATAAAAATTTTTATATATAAAAAGATTTTTGTTTAAAAGAAAAAAATCATGAATACAAAATTATATATTAATATTTTTATAAAATTATAAATAAGAAATTAAAAAATTATTTGAAAATAATCAATGTTTTTAATTAAATAATAATTTTAAATATATTAGTAAAATTATTTAAAAAATTTTTTTAATCAATAATTAATTTTTTAATAATTTAGATTTAAATTTTGTTGATTTATTATTAAAAAAATATAGAAATGGAATATTTTAAAAAATTTTTTATAATTAAAATAATTTATAATAAATATGATAAATAATATAAACTATAAAAAAAAATATAAATTAATAATTGAAAATAATAATAAAAGAACTAATTAATAATTCTATATTAATAGAATCTCTAGATTTTAAACTTTATTTGAATATATTTTTAATAAATATAATAAATAAATATAAATAAAATTTTTCTTTTTTCAAATTAAAAAACAAAATAAAAAATAAAATCAAATCTTTTATTTACATTATATACTATACCTACAATATATATATTTGTTTTGTTTAGATATAAATTATATAATATTTAAAACATTTAATCAATCAATTAATCAATCAATTGGTAAATGAAAACATGAACAATTATAAAATTATAAAATTATAAGAAACAAAACATAACCCAAAATTTTATATTAATCCATAATTTAAAATGCAAAAAACAAAAATTTAGTATTAAATAAAAATAAAAAAAGTTTAAATTAGTTAATAACAATATGACAAACAATTTATTAAAAATATAAATGAAATAACAGATAATTTTTTATAAATCACATTTTTAATAAAACTTATCAAACCATAAATTATTATTAAAATACTACTGAAAGTTCTTGAATACCATAAAGATTAATGGTGTGTATGTGATTAAAAAAAGATACATCTATAGACTATAAAGTGTATGCGGTAATCTCGAATATTGGTTTATTATAAATTTTGAAGGCTGGGATTATAGTAATTATAGGTTAATGAATGTTGATTTATCATAAAATTTATGATACGAATGGTTTTCTTTTAAATCATGTTCAACGAAAGAGAATTCACTTCAAGACTTACAAAATTACGTTTCGCGGTTCTTGCTAATAAATACAGTATTCATTGGCACATAAAAAAATCACAAGTATTTAGATATTGTGTTTATTTTTTTTCATAAGTTATTTTTATGTATGTATAAACAATTATGCTAGTTTAACGATGGGTTCCAAGAAAAAGAATACAAAGATCGACTTTGTATATTTGATATACTGTATTGGATGTTTTGTATGTTAAATGAAAATTTTAATGTATGATTAATAACCTCGGGATTTCTCATATATTATTTATAAAAAATAAACATTTGATTCGTTGGTCAAAGTTTTTAGTGGAATTTCTTTTACGGTAAAAATTTATCGATCAAAAATACGCTTCTTACATACACGTATATATTGGCTATAACGAGAAAATACTTTAGAGGCCGTCGATGATACAATATAACTAATTTCTAGGTGGCATTTTTTTCCAATTAAACATAGTATCGCCTATATTAAAACAAAAATTCACTTTATGATATGAAATGATATATGATCCATATTTTCTTATTCTGATATATCTAAGATTCTGCACTACACCAATTAAGACATCCATACATGAGCACAACACACATTTGTATTACAGGTGATGGGTACAAGTGGAATAAGTGATCCTTTTTAGATATATAAATTATCCCCGTGTAACGGGATCAATCACGTGATTAATTATTATAAAGTATTGTATGCAAATGCACCTGTGCTAAAAGTTTTTGTTTTAAGCATTATTTCTTCTCTACGACTTTCCACCATATTATCAAAAACTTACATCTAATTTTTACCGGGTATATATAAACCTGGATGATAGAAATTACGGATCTTCCGGCATATAGAATAATCTCGAGAGAAAGACAAGTTCCTCCAGGTGACCGACCTCCTCTCTTATTTGCTCTCTCATAGGTAAAGAATGTCTTCACGACCGTACAATACAATCGCTCAAAGAGTCGTTGCCAGAGGGCGTAAAGTTGGTAGTGGCAACAAAAGAACTAAAGATGATTCACCGCCCAACCCCTCGATAACTACTCGTGGCTCGAGAAGCGACGGTGTACTACCCAAATCGAACATTACTACTCGAAGTTCAAAAAATGCCGGTGTCGGTACGCCCGGGAAGGTATCCACAAAATCCACCTCACCTGCCGCCATTCTAATCAACTTAAACAACGCCACACGCAAAAGGACTAGCCCGATGAAAACAAGATCGGCGAGCGCTAACCTGAAGTTAAATTCCATAGCTTCTGATAAGAACCTAGCGACTGGCACTCCGATCGAAACCAATTCACCACAATCGCACCCGGCAAAGAGACAACGCCAGGATAAATCGTTACCAATGTTTTTTATTGTGCTTGACGAAATGCCTGGTGGCACCGAACGCGAAAGTTCAGTTGTAAACTCCAAATTGAGTCAATATAAAAGTGGAGTCACAGATAGTAGTGTTCATACATCACCGAAAGAAATGGAAAGTCTGTCGGATACGATAATGGAGGAGGCAACAGGTGTCACAACAAAGTCGAATGAAGTAACAACGAATTGTTTAACGAACGTGGAGTCGAATGATCCAGTAGATACGAAAATAGATACCTCTGGAGATATTATAATGCTAGATTCATCGGAAGAAAAGACTGGTGATTCGGTAATAGGGTCAAAATGTGATCGAGTGGATGTAGTCGCGAACGGTTCCAATGATATGGTAGCAGATGGCACGCATGACAAATCTCCTAATAATTCCGAAGTAGAATCCAAAAGCAATTCCGTGATTGTACCGAAGGATGAATTGATAGAAAACGTGACAATGAGAGAGACAGCTGATAAGCCACCTGGTAGTTCAGAAGAAGCATTAAAGAATCATTCACCGAATGATGAATTGATGAAAAAATCAGAATCAGACATGTTGGTGGAAAAGTTAAAGAATACAAACATTAGGGAATTATCAGTTGTGACAGCGGATGATTTTACGGACTCGAATGTACAACATTCGTCTAACAAGTCTACCGATGATCCCGAAGTGGCAAAAGATAGTCCAGCAGATACGGCGACGGATAGTCCTGATGGTATAACTATTAAGGATACATGTGACAATCAAGTTGATAATTCGGAGATAACACCAATGGATAACTCAGCGGAGGCAATCGAACCCACGGAAGAACCGTTGAATACGTCAAAGAACGAATCGGACATCAAAGATTCATTGGGGGTGAATGATTTGCGGGATGAATTGTCAAAAGATTTGGGAAGTGAGACGGTAGGCAGATCAATTGATGCAACCGATTCGGAAGGAGTTTTAAAAAGTGATACTAAGGACATGAAGATAGGAGGTGAATCGGCAACGTGCGGGTCGACGGATGCAATGAGGGATAATTTAGAAGATGATTGTTCATCTAGTAAACCTAATGTAGAAGTGTTTAGCGGCAGGCATCAAGATGAGAGTGAAAATTGGAAAGAAAACATTAATAGTGAATTGAGCAATTCGAAACCCATTCATCAGGATAAATTAGCAGATCAGAGTAAAACCCGGGAAGAAAAGGGAGTAAGTAATAATTTGGTTAAGGTAAATAATTCGAGTACTAATTTAGTTAAACCGGATGCTGAGAGGGAAACGGATGAGGATTCGAAGTCGATAAAGGACAACGCACATCAGGTTTCACCGGAAGAAGGTGGATTAAAAGATGAAGGGTCAGAGAGCACACAGACCACACAGGCCACACAGGACACACAACCAAGTCAAGGAAACTCGAATGACATACCGACCGGAGTAACCTTTATAGACCTCACCTCCGATGACGACAAAGATGATATTATAACGGTAATATCGTGGTCCTCAATGGATGCCAATGTAGACGAAGACGATCCACCGTCACTGGACGATTTAGCCGTTTTCGATGATATTTCGGCGGAGGCCGATGAACTGGAAGAGGATGACATAGATGACGGAGATGTGAGAAAAAGTGAGGATTTTGAGGAAAAGGGATTTAAAATTGATAATTTGATAAAGGGCATGAGTGCTGGTACGATGATTAGTTTGATTGATAGTGTTATGCCATTGAACAAAGGGAAAAAACATTTGTACTCTAGGAAAAGTGCTCGTTAGAAGATTAGGGCTCACCGTGTACACTGTCTAATGCATCAGTTTATTCAGAGAAAAATGCATATTCTGATTTTATCATAGAAAGATTTTTTTTTCCAACGCTTCTAAATAAAACGATCATTACGCTTTTAAAAAACAGAGATATAATAAACAACACGATAAATGAGAAATTAAGCGTGCTTTCTTTGTGACATTGATCCTACTTGAAAATTTAACAATGTCATGATTGAGCCACGAATTTTTTTTTTATGTTAGTGATCATTTCCAAGCCTCTCGGAATTTATTCTTTCTAAAGAGCTTACATACAATATTACTCTAAAATTAGATACAGCAATTTATAGTTTATAGTTCAGACAGATAACCGTTTGCTTTCTACCAGGAAGAAGCGAGCAAAGGAGAATTTCGGGACCGTCAAGTGGACTTGGGCACCTATGACGTCTGCGGTGCCACCACATTCAAAAATAAATCAATCGTGATACCCGTGATACCAGTCGGGAAAACGGGAGTGCATTTTTCCTTTTTTGACATAATGAAGGCCGTGGAACAAATTCCCAATTTTACCATAGTTGCATTAGGAAGTTGCCATGGTATAAACTCTGCGGCGTTATCCTATCCAAATATAATACAGTAGTAGGGGTACAGATCGACCGCACATACGAAAGATCTTCAATTCCAAAATTGTAATAGAAGGGAAATTTTTTTTTTTTTTTAGAATAGCACGTACTGTATTTCCTGAAGTTTGCTAATACGATCAACCCTATTCTGGCATTCTAGGATTCATGATCGTTTATTCTTGTTTCCCTCTATAATGAGGCTACCATTTAAGCAACATTGCGTCTATTTATTTGTGTACGCGTGATCAGGTTCGAACATAATTTAAAAAAGATCTATGGAAGCGTAATCCTAACGCGTTTCACATTTAATTACTTAAACATTTGACACATCATTATCGTCGAATTCCATATCAGAATGTTCTTAAATGAACGGAACAAAATTATCGCGAAATTTTATTTTTATTTTTATTTTTATTTTTTAATTCCAAAGTCAGAACACAAAAAATTTAAGGTTAGGTCCATTTACAGTATTCTATCGAAACTCCGTAATTATTGCACGCTGCAAGCCAAACGGCCAAATGCATTCTGGCATGATTATGTAACAAGTTTGAAATGAGAATATGCGATAATGGTAAAACGTGTGGCAATAATGGAGGACGATATGTGTTCTCACCACTCCTTTCTAGAATAAGTCGAATTCTTTGTTCACACACACACCTTTTCTTCTTATCATAACCTTATCTCTCGTACGCACGGAAAAGAAACGGAACATGATGGACACGTTTATGCCGATTGTTTTTTTCTCTTTGTAATTAAAAATGACACATGACGTTTTGAGTTTAACGCCCATTTATTATTAGATGCGGTACTTCATCACAATAACACATCATCAATCATGAATTGTGAGCTCTGATCTCACATTTCACCCGAGCATTGTGATAAATGGAAAACCGATATGTGCTGTAAGTAATCGTCGAATGACGGCTTCTTTAACCGAGATCGTTTTACGTGCCAAACGCACGAAGGTGTGACACGTGACACCAAGTCACATATCAAATAATCCTCTTTATCTCCCAACATGGCCTCATAATATATGGTGATGGTAGGTCAAATTTGCGCTCGTTTGTTTTTTTTTTTTGCAAGATTCATTTTTAGAGTTGAATGGCGTGCAAAAAAACGTTTCAGCGTTAACATTCAAAGCCAACTCCAATCACTGTAGTAATACAGTAATAATTCAACCGTCAAAATAATACAAATTTACCATTTATGGAAATGATTACATTATCATGATTTTTTTATTGTTATCATTTTTTTTCTACTAACGTTAATTATTCATGATCCCCTGGAATAATATACTGTATAATCTTGGGTAACTTACAATCGGTGCGTGCACCTTAAAACCATGGTAAATCCGATCAATCGGAAAAAAAAACAGGTCTTACTTACACCAGGGTGTTTGACCCTAAATAAACGTATTGTTTGTGTACATATCTGGGGTTCATCGATTTTCTTGAATTCATTTCATTTTATTTATTGTTATGTAACATCACAGAATTATTTTATTTTTATTTTTATTAACTAATGAATAAATGAGTGTACATATTTCGGTGGGTGTGAATATAGTGTTCTAAGGAAAAAGAATGTACTGTATGTATATACTGTAATAAGGAATGATGTGTTATGTACAAAATATTTATGAATACGGTGTGTGAAATATTTACGAAATGTGGTTATACGATAGTGGTAGAATTTATGCGAGATGAGGTGGAGGATAAGCTAAGCTAAATGAATGCCACAGATGAGTAATGATCGTAAGGTGATCATATGCACTTACGATGGAAAATGAATGAATGCATAAAACTAATTACGAAAACATAAAGTGAAGTATCTATTTAAAAGCTATAAAACAAAAATTTACAGGTTTTTTTTTGATAGAAATATATATACGATAGAGACAGATATGGAGAGATAAAGAGTGACGTATGACCACAAAAAAGTGGCATCGTTGAGTGCATAGAAAAAAAATATGGAATATGGAAAATGGAAAATGGAAAATGTGTGCCCTATTCTTTTTTCTTCATTGCCCAAAATCTATGAATTTTATCGAAACCTTTCCGTTCAACC